AATCCGATTTGAAAGCCTACCTAAGTACAGAAAAGATAATCCTACCTTGGAAAATTATGCGATCGTTGTGAAGGGTTCTTTAAACTCGTGAAGGTTAGTCAAATCACCCTTTCAAATGTTCACATGTATCCCTCGGTGGAAAATATAATAAACTACCAATTCTGTAAAGGTAAAATGGTAAAGCAAAGGAAAGCCAAAAATAAAGCTTAATATTAAATCATATTTTGTCACCGAAACCCAAAACACAAAGATGTTATACATTATACATAAACATGCTCTGTGTTTAACACTGTATATTTTTGACGATATTCCCGACAGCTGTAATTTTATTATGCCAAAAATTTTATGAAGTAGAACAGTAATTTATCCTATTCTTATCTTGAAGTTACTTCGAATCGTTTACGCAGGGTGAGTCAAAATGAGGAATATTAATTTTCGGGAAAAAATCAAATGGAACACCCTGTATATTCAATAAAACTCCGAAAACTTGTCAAATTATGAGAAAATATCCCCAGAATTTGTAGATTTTTAATTTTGTGCAAAAAATATTTACTTTCTTTCCATTAATATACTGCCTATCTTAAAGCGCAAAATATTGTTGAACTATAAATGCGCGTCTTTTGGGGCATGCGCAAATGTAAGTAGTCTAATCGTTTAAAGACCGTGTTAGAGCACATATCTAAGTCGGTGGGAGACATTTGGAGCTATAAAGTGAAACTTAATTAAACAGTTCTCTATAGTTTTGCAGTTTTGCTCTTAGTTTTTAAGTTATTTTTCCATAACTATTGGCAATATTTATATTGCATTTTTAATATTATCCCTAGCGTAAAATACTGTTTTTCCGAAGTTAAATTTATAATTTTATTTTTATTTAAATCCCGGATTTAAAAAATTATTTCCGTATTACATTTTATTAACATGTAACGAAGGTTATTACCCGAAAGAATTATACTTAATTCGCCTCTGTAGATTTTTCACGTTCAGGTAATATTCATTTTGTCCTCAATCTTTAGTGATATTTTCGCAAAACGTTTAGTATTTTGTTTGTAAATATGTCTATACCTCAAAAAATACTAAATTTAAGTATAGGGAAAGCTTAATAAAATTGAAAGAGCATTATTAGAGATAATTAACGTAAGTTTAATATACAGGGTGTTCCAGTTGATTTTTTCTCAAACATTAATATTTTTCATTTTGGATCACCATGTATAAACGATTCGAAATAACTTCAAGTATAGGATAAATGACTGTACCACTTTGTAAATTTATTGGCATAATAAAATTGCAGCTGTCGGAAACGGCGTCAAAAATATAGGGTGTTAAACACATTTTTGACGAAAAAATGGCTATAAGGCCGAAAACACTCAGTATAGACCATAACAACCGTACATTCGGCTGATTGGGTATAAACGGGAGTATCTATCAATGCCAGAATATACAGCGTGTCCCATTTAAAAAATATATAAGTTTGTTTTTCCACATATTTGTGACTCATCCGATATATTTGAAAATAATTTTAAATTGCAGTTCTGTATTTTTGTAAATCCTTTTTCTCTACAAAAAATAAAACTAGAATTGCCATTATCGAGACAACAGTGTTGCAATAATCGTTTTTTTTAATTATCTCACCGGCATGGCCATACTGTATATTTGTTTTTTTTTTATTTACTACTGAGACCGTTCTATTTTCCAATTTAACGATATTAAGGTTTTGTCGAGAACTATCTCACAGGATCTATACAGGATGTTCTCTAGTAATGTGCACAGAATTCAACAAGAAACTCTTTATAGATGAAAATAGATCATCTTGTTTTTTTTACCATGGTATAATAATTTGACGTGGACGAACATAAATTACTACTACTATATCGCAGGTGACAAATGTCAGCACTGCACTTTTAGCCAAAATTGAACTACACAAGCAGAAGCAGAAAATAGTGGAATTACCATAAAACATACTTAAAAGATATAAAACTATGTGGCGTTTTTGTCAACTTTTGTACCGATATTTCTCATAGAATTGTATATGGATCTTTCGGAGACCCCCATAAACGAAAGCCAAAGGTCCTCAGTGCTTCGAAATTTAGTTTATCGAGCAAGCACCTGTACATAACGCGCGTGCCGTTAACGGAAACGGGTGGAGGAGGTTTCTGGCCAGGCGTTAAATCATGCGAGGGAGGTTGTTTCCCCCCGGCCCCAGTCCCGACACTTTTACGACCATCGATTTGAACGAATTTATACGCCTTAAACGGCTGCAATGATTTCTTGGTCTTTTTCGAATTTATGAACTTCGCAGATCAGGGTGTTTTATTTCCGGATTTGCCGGAGCGAGGGAACGAGAGGAGTGGGTCGTTTGAAATACGCCGCCGTATACGAAAAGTTACCCCCTCTTCTCCCGCACCGCGTTTTTACGTTTTCGTTTGTCCGCCCTCTCCCCGAAGGCGGGTCGCGACACTCGTAAATATCGTCATTAGGACCAGGGACTAACTAAATTATCGCGATTATTCGCGCTTATGTTTCCATTGCGTACTCTAATCCGGCCGCCATAAGCACCAGTTTATTCGGATTCAGCCGTTTGAACTTATCAGCGCGTTTGTCTACGTAAATGAGTTGATCCTACGCGTCTGCGCCAAGTATACCCGGGTTTGCCGGTGCCGCTGACGCGTTCCTTTTCTTTTTTATTATGGCATACGTACATCTAGATAAAAATATGGCCCAAAATTGGACAGGTCAATGAAATTATTTCTTTGTTATAATTATTATTATTATTATCATTATTATTAAAAATTAAAAATGACTTGCTTGGAATGTTCTTCAACATGTGAGGTTAAGACAGAAAATTCAAACTGCCATAAGCAGCAGGAATTCAAGTTAATTTTTGCAAAACACTTTCTTGTTTTGAAAATTTCTATATCAGCACGCTGCTTTCATTAAATAGTAGATATTTTGACGAGTAGATGGATGATGATGATCTGCTGCACTTAGTAATATTTTGTAATATTTTGTGATTTTTATGTGAACCAATTATAGTGACACTCCGGGCAGATTTTGACTCCGCAAGTTTATGTGCTAGAAACCAACGGTTTCTTTTATATATTCGATATCACAAATCCCTCCGTCTCGTTGTGGCAAGAAATATTAGTATCCGCATCGAACCAATTTGCGAAAAGGTCGTTTATATAAATCAAAGAATATAGAGATCCCTAAAGGACGTCTCAGAGTTGCCGAAGCACAGGGCGTCGCTCCGCAAATTACGCCACAGTTTTCCTAAGTTCAAATATTGAATTAAAAAAAATAAAGCAAATTTAATTTTCAGTATAGAAGACGTATTTTTTTGTCTGTAGCTCTATTTTCCCTGTCCCGCTTCTTGCATCAACTTTTCCATGCACCCCGTATATTTCGAAAAACTGTTTATCGTACTTTGACGTAAAGAGACCTTGACCATTTGAAGCACTGACCCAATTGTCTATTCAAGCCGTGGGTGTTTTCCGTCAAAAGAAAAAGAAGCAAGTAAACGATCGAGTTTTATTTCTAACATACAAAAACAAACAATTAGAGAAACCTTCGATATACTTGTCCATTATAAACCTGAATAAATCAGTCCGGCAAAGTGCTCGCAATGGAACGCGTCATCAAACCGATCGTTTTATATTCGGAATTATTTTTAATGGTCCCTTTCGTTTTTCCACAACTCCAACGCAGAAAGCTCAACGTCTGGTTCGCATTCCGCGTCACCCTCGTTTTGCTCTTGCTGGGGTTCGCCTTAGTGACGGTTAGAATACATGGAAAGAAATGCAGCCAGACCCAGAAAAACATCATTCTCAGGGTGGTCAAATTCGTGTACAATTATACCAAGGTCCCGATCATCGGGCTACTGTTTGCAGCAACTCATTTTCGGGGAGGTGTCCATGTCGCGTTTTTAAAGAAAGTCAGGATCATAGAACAAAAGTTTAAGGCTTTGGGTACGCCCGTGGTCTACGACTTTAGATTCGCTTATGTTCTGGTCGCCATTTCGGTTCTGATGAGCTTGGTTTATTTCTTAGGACTCCTATACGACTACGATTTTATTATGGATACACAGGTGTTCGGTAAGTATAACTCCAAAACTTCGCCTGTAGTAAAATTTATTGTAAACAAATCATATAGAAAAATGTGTCTGTCTAAACACTGTAAATAAGTTTTACAAAGCTGACGGACACAGATTCTTTGCCGTTATGAAACTTTCATGATTTATATATAAGATTAGTTAGTTAGGGAGTAAAACGTTTATAGGGGGGTAAAATTAGCTGATACGATTATCTATTTAAGAGCTATAGAGGTTTTATAGTAAAGATTCTCAGGTTTTATAAAATAGGGAAAACAAAAAAATGTTAATTGGGACTGGAGCACGTGACTACCAGACCCCACATAACCCATCGTCACTACAGCTGAGACTACCAGGCTTTGGGGACCTAAAGAAAAAGGATCTGTAAATCCATCGGAGTCTTCAGATTTTTTATCACGAGACCTCCTCCTTGCTTTACAGTAAAGATTTTCAATGTGCTCCTAATTCCAATACTTTTTTCATAGCGCTTTTCATGCCGGTACCAGACTACGTCACCATAATAACGCTGGAGGTGTGGTTCGTGGTACCGATGCTGTACAGCAACGCCACCATCAAGCAATGGGTCATTTACCAGTACATGTTGAGGAAACATTTTCGAGCACTCAACGAATATCTGAAGACCGCGAAGAGAAGAACGATGGTGTGGACCGTAACTCCAACACGAATGGTATCCGAATTACCCTTTTACAAGCCTTCGGAAGTGATGAAGAACGCCTACACGATCTATAACGATCTCATCAAACAAGCGTATAAGTTAAATACGGCATTCGGTTGGCAAATTTTTATAATTGTACCTAACATGTTCATCACTTTGATCTTCGCCATTTTCTCCATTAGCAAGTCCATCAAAACGATGGAGCCCTTCGGCACCTCGCTCTGCATGGGGATTGGGTATTATATCATCATGCTGCTATGGATTGTAGTGCCTTGTAGCTTGACAATGGCTGAATCTGTCAAGTTCGTTTCGATATTGAGGAAGCTCGAGATGGAGTCTCACAATGATCGCAAGGTGGATGGCATGGTAAGTTTAATCAAGCAAACATCTAAGAGGTCATTAGAATTCTCTCTGTTCGTATTAGACACAGACCTCAAATTTATCTTATGCTAAATACTGATAAAGTGACTGGTGTAAGTACGATCTTCGTACAATTCTATTATTAGAAATACTGATTATCCTTAAAAAAGAAGAAGAGCGTGTTCTTTGAAGGAAGATCGTTAGAGGATCAAAATAAGTTTAATTTATGCCTTAACAATTAAAATTAAAGCATTTTTAAAATTTATGCAATTTTAAAGAGAGAAGAAGGTTTCTGCAGGAAGGAAATCAAAATATGTTTCAAATTCCTATCAGGGCCTTAAATTTTATTTATCTGGCAACACTTTCTAATTCAAATTTCAAATTCTTTCACTACGGGAAGATATTTTTACCGTGAGGTCTAAAACTGTATTTTTTTACAAAAGAGGAGATACTAACTTAAAAAAAGGATGATTTCAGTCCAACTATTGATAAGAAGAAAATACTGTAGATCCCTTTATTATTATTCTGGACTCCAACCAATATGGTTTGTCTGACTACCCGATAAAATTTACAAATACAGTCGTATGGTTCATAGTATTTTTTAAAAGTAAGATTCTTATTTCTTATTCTTACTTCGATAAAAAAATGTAACGGGGCACTGGTAACAAAACAAGTCAAATACGTAACACTGGGATACCCCTTTTTTTATTTTATAGGTTAGAGTTAAGCATTAAAAGATCTTAAGTGCTTTTTTCACAACTAGCCTTTATTCTTAGGCTTCAACGTTTCACTCAGGATTGTAGGCTTCATCAAGAAGACTAAAATATATGGAAAAACATTCTATCACATTTTGAGAATTAAATTTTTTTTAACATTGCCTAAATTAAGCAAGAAAACCACAAAACTTTTTTAACATTAAAATTTTCGTTATTATTTAAAATACAGCGATAAAAGATTAGTTTAAACCAATGGACAGTCACCATTACATTGCAATTTAAAACAACAACAACCCAAAGATGGATGATCACAGATTAAAAATAGTTATTGTTTCTTTAACATATTAACGCCATGTTAACAACAAATTTATTTGAGTAGAGGGGGTGACAATTAGTAATAAAATGTTGCCAATCGTACTACCAACCTAACTATTACTCTCTCGCATTAAGAAACATAGTATACACGTGAATAATTTTTTACTCAGAGCTTATACATTGTGGTGTTGCCGTTTATGTCTAAATTTCTCTCTTATTATTGGCGGCAAGTTTCTAGGAATTTTTTTTATGGTTTGGTTGGTACTTTTTCTTTACAATAGCTTTGCTTTGCTTGTTGGCAGATGAGTTTGATGTGCCTGCAATGTCATCATTTACCCGTGGAATTTTCCGCAGTCGGAGTGTTCGAACTCAATATGTCTCTGCTCTACACCGTATGTACTCGAAACCGTAACCGGATTGATTTCAGAGCTTAAATTAAGTCTTCTTTTAGATATGGGGAGCGATGACGACGTTCCTGGTGATGTTGCTCCAGTTCGACATTTAGTTCCAAATCGACCGGTCTAAATCCCCTGGCGTTTTATTTTCTTTGCCGCCTTTCGACACTGTTCATTTTTATATCCCCTCGGAGGATTCGCGTTTCAAAGGTTCCCCAGACCGATTGGCAGCAGCGCCGAAATGATAATATTTTGCATTAAAAAGGGGAAAAAGAGTGCCGACAAAAAAGCCAGAGGATCGGGGATTTGAGCCGGCAGCGAATAATTAAAGACGATTTATTCGATTTTTCTGTGTGTGAAGTGCAAATAAAAGGGGAGAGAGAGAAAGAGCGGGGATTGCTGACAGTTTGTGTTTGGCATTTCGCTTTTATTCCCTGCTTTCGGGGCTTATTCGTCTACCAGGGCCTTTTTTGCATAACTATACTCTTGGTGTAGCAGGATTCTAGAAATTATTTAATGATCTTGTAAATAAAGTACAACGAACGCAAAATTAAGCAATACAAGTAATTTTTTCGCTTCCGCACACCTCTAGTGAAATCGTTTACCAAATATCCATTTTTAAAAATAAATTTATTTGAGCAACGTAAACTAATATATGCAGTGTGTCCACTTAACACGATTTTGATTTTTTTTGTTGGATAGGTCCCTGAAAAATGCACTAAAACCTTGTTTTGCTTATTGCTTCAACTTAAAGTCATGGCCTATTGAGACTGAGACTGAGATCTCTCAAAAACGCACTATAATCTTATGTTTCTTATTACATCAACCCGAAGTCATGGCTAGCTGGGAATAGATTTTGATGTCAATATTAGGGATTTCTTTAAGAACAAAGTGCCAACGAACTCAGGACTACATAAAAACTACTCAAAACTATTCTAATTTCCATGAACTTTGGATACAGGGTGTTCGAAATATCGCGGGCGCCTTGCCTAAGTATTACTCCTGTAGAATGTGGGTTTATGGCTCAATTTTGATAATTCTTTTTTTAAATGTTTTTAATGTTTTAAAAAACTAAATACTGTAAGTCTTGTAAATAACAATTATTTTGTATGTGATTTCAAGATCTCAATGATGATAAAAAAGACGTTTATTTTCTTAAAACAACTGCATTAATAAATCTTAGTGTTCGAAGATTAAATAAAATTAAAATATATATTAGCAAGTGAATTTGACTGTCAAATATTGGCTTCTCCATGGCAAACTTGGTTTTACAAAGTATGCCGACGTCAATCAATTCTGATATTCCTGTTATTTTTATATTCAGATGAGAATTAAAAATTATTTTTAATTATAAAAACCCAGCGTTGTGAAGTCTGTTTAGTTCATACACCCTGTATTGAAACATTATAAAAATTGGTATAGTTATGTTCTAAGTACTCCTGAATAAGAATTCGTTGCACATTTATTTAAAAAAAAAATCCTAATAGTACTTCTCTCTTTTGTTAAATATGCTCAGTTGGCCATGACTTTAAATTGAAGCAATAAGCAAAACAAGGTTTTAGTGCATTTTTCAGAGACCTATTCAACAAAAATAATTATGAAAATCGAAACTTAAACAAAGATTTTATAAGGTTGTACACACTGTATACTACAAAAAGAGCTTTTAGTCCAAATCAGAATGAACACAACTGCAATACCAAAATACTTTTGTAAGACCCAATTAAATTAATTAACTTAATTTTTATTTGTTCTTACAATAACAATTTTCGTCCGGTTTGTCCATTTTCTAGATTCAGAATCAACGAATCGTCAAAGGAGATCAGACCTTGATTGTTTGAAAATTTTGTAGAGATGGATTTAAAAAAATGAAAAGACTGGAACCCTGGAAGAATAAAAGTCATCTCTATCAGATATCTTAGATGACCTGCTTTACGTCTTTCTCGTGTATTTTAACTTCACGAACTGTACTTCTGCCTTCTTGTTACCCATTTAAAATTGATTAGGGTGACAAAATCCTATAAACTATTTGGTTAATCCTTGTCGCAGATGTCATAGGTAAGAAATCTAATCTGGACCAAAACCACATTTTTTAAACCCACGCCAAATAGTGTTCTTATCTTGGCTGCGAGTGTTGAAGAATTATATGACTAGTGGACTAGTACACTCGTCTACCAAGCGATAAAGAAGACTGGATACCCAGAGATTAAAATCGGGATGCCACTAGGAACAAAGTTTCCGATGAGTTGAGAGGGTTTATAAATAGCATCCCGAAGCAGATTATTTCATTACTCGTTGTTTCTGGAGAAGGTAAAGCGCGTTGAGGACGGGCCAAGCCTAATTCTATTAAGTAATAGGCGCGTTGTTTCCCGTGCTGAAGTTTCCAACGCGGACCGGATGCAAAGACGTTGATGAGGGTTGCTTTATGGAGTGTTTTATGCGCATTAAATGCCGTTTACAAAGTTGCGGCTCCGGATCGCCGGCCCATATCGGGCGTTTCACAATTTAACGTCAATTTTAAAGGGGTTGAAAGCGCGGTTAACAGCACCGTCCCCAAGAGCTGCGTGATCTTCTTTTTATATCTTCTGAAGAGTTTATTGCATCTTAAAAGTCCTTCAACTTCACTTTGCAAACGCAACGTTAGAAGACTTTGTTCAGGTACATATAGGAAGAAGTAAAGGAAGTAAAGAAAAGTGACCAAAATTGCTTTGACTTAAGAGGAGTATCAGTAAATATGTTTAGCAAAGAGCTAATGGGTGTCAAGTCTCGTTTTTGAAATTTTACGCGAGAGCAATTCTTAAGTTTGAAGTATGTGCTCTAATTAGCCATTTAATATTAGTAACTAATTATTTACTGATGATAATATTACGAGTGATCCATTATAACAGTTACCCTAAATCTTGTTATTATGTGTATTATTTTATAGTTTACTACGAAAGCTGTAGTTTAATATTACATACTTATTCATATAGAAGGTGTGCCAAAACAGCATAGGGTGTCATAGTTATATTTTTTCTTAATTGGACGCCTTGTCAGTGTACCCAAAAGTATGTAATATTATTTTTTATATTAACATGAGAATTATGCAAAAATAAACTGTTGGCCATGCATCACGTCACATCGACGAGATGTCTTTTGCTCAATTATGACAGTTGTGGCATATCTTGGATGTTGTTCTTGAATATTATCCAAAAATGGATAAAACAATAACGTTTTCAAGGTAAGAAAAAATTAGAAATATAATTATATTTAAAATACGAGGTTAGCGCCAAAATTTTCCGGCCTGACATAGATGCAGTTCCAGTATCACGATAAAACTTTGTCTTCTTTTAAACATATATCTTAGTAGGCTGAGAAAAAAAATTGAAGTCTTGCGTCAAATAGTTTTTTACTTATTTTTATTTTTAGTCCAAAAAAATATCGCAAATAACGCAAATTGAGAATAGAGCAGTCATAAAGTTTTTGACAAAAGAAGGATTAGCACCTAAAATTATTAAAGAAAGCCTGGATGGTGTGTACGGCCAAAGTTCTCCTTCGTATTCTGTAGCGAAAGAATGGGCAAAACATTTTCGAATGGGACGGGAGTTCCTTGAAGATGATTCAAGAACTGGTCGACCAGTGGAGGTCATAACGGAAGATATTGTTGCGATTGTGGAAGAGGTGGTATCGAGTGATCGACGTTTAAAGGTCAAGGAAATCTTAGAAAATACTCAGCTTTCTGATTCAAGTGTTCGTCGAATCCTGCATGATCATTTAGGCATGCATAAGGTTAGTTGGGATTGTGAAGGAATTGAGTTGTTAATAAAGAGATGTAAGAAGTGTATTGAAGTTAAGGGGGATTATAATGAAAAATAATAAAAAATTGTTACTCTACCCGTTAAACCGTTGATCACTGTCCAGTATTTGCTACATATGTCTACAAAATGCCAGTCCTCGAGACTTATTTTTTCAGTCAAGCGAATTTGGGTAAAAGGGTGGAATTTATTTCTCTTCAAAGCTCTCCAAATTTTTCCAAAACTCCAAAAACAGTGTTGAATTAAATGGATTTTCTAAAATTTTTTAAAATGTTACAACAACTGCACCTGTGTATTTCCATATATTCGCTTCTGTCCTTATTTGCAATTTGATCATTTTTTTATATACGTCAATATTTTGAAATTTGTCTCAAGTGAAAAGAAAACTAACCACAACATAGTCTCTCATTGAATTTTAAACAAGTTTAATATCCAATATATACCACAACAAATGTGGCGTTGCCGTGACGCCATAATGCGGCATGGCCAACTAAGTGACGATTTTATTTTTGACTTAATAAGCCCTAATGAATTATTCACGATATAAATATACTTGTCATAACTGAAAATTTGTGAGGCTTTATAACAAAATTTGTCATAATCGAATTATAGTGAAAATCAAATTTATATCTGAATCGACGGACATTACCTTATTCCGGGCCACACAACGCCCTGTACATTGCCGCGGCGTCGAACACGTAACGAACTGTCGCCGGGCGCAAAAAAAATCGTCCGTCGACTCATTTACTATTCAAAGTTAATGGGTTTCCCTAATTATGCCGATAGAGAGTGGGACGAGAGAGAAAAATGTCCCATTTAGCGGATAAAGTTAAATAAAACCGTTTAAATTTTGATTACCGGCGCGGAGCCATTAATCAATTTGATGGGAACGATTCAAACGAAACGACGCAAATAGAGAAGCGCAGGTACACAAAGTAAAACAGAAAACAATGGCGGAAACGCTGCTGCAACGCCAGATTTTTTTTGTCGGCCTCGCTTCCCGCTCATTTTGTCTTTGGTTCGGCGTTCGTGTAAAATTCCCGATAACGATAACATTTTATTAACGGGTGTAGCGTATAAATTATACAAACCATTACACAAATAAAGGGGATTTTTGACCTTTTCGTATGCACAAAGTTTATCGATTTAACTATTTATTTTAATAAATTTTAAGATATAATTCATTCAAAACAAAATCCGTTGCACGTCATCAATCGGAATATAGGCCCTGTTGCCAAGTTGTGGCGGAAATATGAGCATCTTACTTATATTACAATAGTTATGAAAATCCTAGTCATCGCATCTTTTTTTTATTGTTTTTTTTAGATTTATCCAGAAATCTGATAATTTTAATTAATGCTAGCGTAGCAAGGTAATGAACTAAAAAACATTATTTATTTATTTATTTATTTATCAAGGAATATTAATTCATGACATAAAAATGACTTATTTTGAAGAAAGCAAGATGAAAAAAATGCAGCTTGTTATTTATTGGTCAAGGGTTTTTAATTGATCACACAATTTACAGTTACATTACTATCAAGCCACAGTAATTTGGTATTTAATCTGACTTAGAAGTTAAATCAAAGTCTCTAATATCATCAATAGTAATCAGAATTCTGAGTATTCCTTTCCTACCCAACAAGTGCCCTCTTTCATACTAATCTCATTTAATCCCACATATTTAGATAAACATGGCAGTAATATTAAAAGTATTGGTTATTCTCTTCGCTTTTATGAAAGAGATTTTAGAAGTTATTAGCTGCTCCTGTAGATGTTTGTCGCAATCTTCAGATTCAACGCTGCAGCAACACGCTACAGAAAACTAACTGTGGTGGCTATTTGCAAAAATACCTATCAACGAGCACAATATCACTTCAGGTAAACCTACTGATATAATAAAATATTCCTTCATTTACAATTCCTACTTAATATATCTCTCTCTGTCTAATATTCAGTTATAGCGTAAGTATGATTTTAATATTTGTTGAAAAGTTGTTTGTTGAAGAATTGCTACATGTGTTTATACTCGTAGTTTAGGTTGATATTAATTGAAACTAGATCATATATAAACAGATCATCATCATTAAGAAAATAAATAATTCAAGTTGACAGTTTCCTGGTTCTTCACCAAAACAGACAAGACATATGTAAAAAAAAATTGCCGTTTCTATGTACGGCCCTGTAACGTGCGGTAAATTTTATTTATGCATTAGGAAATTATACTCGGTACTTGTGGATAATTTTGCTTCTCTGTTAATCCAAAGTTGTTATACTTTGCAATTTCATAGCTTTAGATGCAAAATGTACTTGCCTAGAATGATACCTTGCGTCGAAATTTTTATAGAGAAGTACCTTAAGAGAGTCTACATCTAAGCACTCCACGGTAATTAACTGGCCTTTCGAAAAAACGCCAAGCTTGTGCCCTTGCAGAATGCTAAACATTTTTCGATAACTACTTAAATTTTTCTGCCGAGGAGCAATTAAAATTTTTAATTATTCACGAGGGGGTTTAGTTTTGAAAGCCGGATGAGTTTGCTACACCCGGGGTACTTGTGCTTCATGAATACGTAATATTTTTGACCCCGTAAAAATAAAAATACCTAGCTTTGGAGTAAAAAATAATTTTATTAAACTATACAACTTACAACACTTCGGCTAGGGTTAACAATAAAATGGTAACATTCTGTTCGCGATTTACGACGTCACAACCTTTTAATTTTACCGAAAACTAAAAAAAAGCATGAACTATGCTAATCTACAGCGATGGAATGGGCGAGTTGTAAAAAAAAATTAGTAGCGACGAAATGCCAACACCAAATTTTGAAGCGGCGATTTTTTAGAAGTATAAGCACCTAACGTTAACAGGGGAAAAGGGCCACTCGTGCGCGATGTATACTACAGCTTGTGGTCACCGAGTGCCGAGGAACTGGCCCTCCTGCTGTCAACGTTCGGTGGGATTAGCGACGGTGACTTGAAAGAAATATGTACAAACTGATCGGAAGCACTTACAACTACTAATTTCTCTTACACTCCCTGTGGGTCTACCTTAGAAAGTAGTACAACTGGGCATAGATTAAAGCTGCAAAGAAAATGAGTATTATTCGTTTTTGGAATGGCAAGTGACTCTCGTCGATCAAAACTACAAATATTAGTGTCTGCCCGTGATTGCTTTGGTCAAATAGTTTTTCAACAAATCAGTACCTATAGTCTTCAGCGACTGTGTGATCTTGTCGGTTATGGAAGGCGATCCGGAGTTTTGAGGCCTCGCCTGGTTGTAGTACGGGTTATAAGCTCCCTGTTGCTGGTATCCCCCGTTGTATCCGGGATATTGTTGCTGATATCCACCTAAAACACGACGCTTTCCTTTCCACGTGACACCTCGACGATGATATATTACCTTGCGGGTATCCCTGATAACCTCCTTGAGGATAACCGTTGTAACCACCTTGCGGATACCCACCTTGGGGGTAGCCTCCCTGTTGCGGGTATCCCCCTGCTGCCTGCCCACCATATCCAGGATACCCTGACCCAATCTGACCTCCTTGATAACCTCCTCCGCTGACAGGTCTGTGCACGTTGGGTCTTGGAGTCGTCTCTCCTTTTGGTATGGCGGGATAGAGGTTGCCTCCGCCTGATGGCGCGCTGGGGGCGTGATCTCCCGTCCCCGACGACGAATCCAACGGGGCGTTGGCGTTTTGGGTATCGTACCTCACAAAACCTGACAGCAGTTACGGGGTTGGTTCAAAAGTTAAGCAAAATTGAGGGTCGTTTACTTTTGGAATGGTCGCCGACGCATTTGGGAGTGTCGCCGTCCATTTTGCACGTCTGACTGGGCGGACACACGAAATTTGAACACGTCCTCGCAGTGTTGCCGCTCATCCGCTTGCACGTGGGGTACCTATAGCCGAATAATATTTATAACAACCGAAAAAACTTCCACTGTCTTTATTTGATTTAATTACGCAACATCTCGGACAGATTTATCAGTTCAAGTTAAGAACGGTGAGCTTTCTTGGTGGTTGGTTGCCAAATCGTGAGTTTTCAACGCTTTGGTTACGAACGCAGCTGCTTCTATAACAGTCACTTCTGGCCATTTTATGTTAGGTTGCTGGTGTTGTATTTTTTGAGTCGTACATTTAGAAGATGTTTGGGGTCTCCAATATACGACTAGCCGTATTCACAAGATACTTATTGAAGCCCTTCTTGACTTGAACACTATTTTAATGACATATTTCTTCGCTTTTAGTCTGAGATTTCTCAGCATAACCATTTGGAGCAATTCAGCACCTGCATAGTGTCATTGGTAGTTTACACAATGTTTTGTAACTCTCCAAGATCCGTTGACCTCATTGATCGATTTGTTTTACTCACAAGGACTTCCAGAAACGAGACTAGAGTTTCTCTCTTTCTCGATGCTCATTTTGATACAGAGAAATGAATTAAGCTATCCGAAATGCTGCGCGATTAAGACAATTGAAGTTCGAAGTTCTTTTAGTTTCAATCTTCGAAAACGAACAAGATAAGAATAGTCGCTCAGCATCGACGAGGGGGGAGAGAGATGTATGGATATTCCTAGCGTCAACGCAGAGTGACTCTTCTTATAGTGGTTCAAGGAAATACGTACGATCCGCATTCATTTTCCCTCTGGTAATATGAGCAAGGGTCGGTTTCCATAACGCATTGCTGGTTACTGGGGCAGCCAATGTCCTTGCACGTTCTACCGTATTCTAGAAACGTCGGTGTGTGTTAATTATTTAACGTTAGCCGTCAAACACGACCGGTGAGCCGAATCGCGACGTTAATTTGGTTGCCTCACCGACCCCCAACTAGAGTTCCAATTAAAAACGATTTCGCACTATTAACGTTTATTATCCGTCATTCTACAATTTGTAATTTCGGTTTTGTCGCTATTTATAATTTGCTTCGACGGCCGGTTTGTTTACAAACCGCCTATATAGATGGCGGTTTGCTAATTAAAATCAGACATCGTTTGCGCGGCGTCGTTTTGCGGGAGTTTTTTTTTATTTTTCCACTCCATTTTTATCATTTGTCGTTGCCTTTTTAGAACTTGTTAGATTGCTTCGTGAAATAAAAGGTATAGGGTGTTGCTAATTCGCTTCTCACTAATGGAGATAAACGAACTTGTTCGACGCTCAATGCTGAAAGAATTGGTCATTTGATTTAGTTTTTTTTCTCGATCGTATTTCGGAAGATATTTTTAAATAAATGCCACATAGTCAAGTGAATTTGTTTTCTAATTAACTATGCATATAACTACTAGTAATATTACGTTTTTTAAAAATATTTTATATTATCATCAACAATTGACAATGAATGATTTAAAAATGAATGCTTCTGTTATTAATATTATTATTATTGTTATTATTTTTGAGACTTTCCATGTTTTTATTTTTCCTTAAGCTTTAATTTTTATTTTAATTTATTTTAAAATTGTCTTTAAGTGTGTCGTATGTTGATTTTTATTAAGCCTTCAGCTTAGCTGTTAGAAATTACCGCATATATCTTACTAAACGGGGCGCATACGTACTGACGAATCGTAATTTGTAAAATAATTATTAAAATACCTAACTTTTCATACTTTAGTGATGGTAAGTTTGACCTTTAAATTGATTGACAATACCTCACAAACTATTATGCCAAGTGAAGATGTATATTAAATCTTTAATCGAGAAAATTTGACGATTGATTCTAAAAACAGGGTGTACCCTCCCTGTTTTTAGAATCAAAATTTACGTGAAAAGTGTAACCTAACGTACAATTATACTCATAAAAAGTTTCTGCAAAATATGAGAGAAACTGCATGATTTATGAAGAGAAATGTTCAACGCCCTGTATTTTAGAAACCGGGCGCGAATCTGAAATACGACATTAATGAGAGTACTAATAATTTCACACAAAGATTCTGTTAGTGACACGTTAATCAATCCTTTTGACTTACCCTGTATATAAGGTGATTCTCTGTAGATTTTTTAAAAATTATTATAAAGACACTGTACATTTTGACAATTAAATAAAAAAAATCCTCCATGCAGCCTAAAAAATAAATAAATTGCAGGGGTGGTTAATATCTAATCAACAACCTGTACATGTTGCTCTTGAACTGTTAAGTTAGTTAAATGTTGCACTACCTTCTTTTTTCAAAAGAACGAACTATGACGGGAAGAGACATCAAACGGAATAAACTAGTTACTAACTGAGTGAGATGTCAGATTTGTATCTAAATTTATTTCTTTCTGTATCATTTTTCCATATACCTGATTGCAATAGTTTCGGGTTTTTGTACATTGACGTCAGCTTTAGCATTAATTTGATTTTAATTATAGAATCAAGATCGGAAAATCTATTTTTATTCTATATCTGTTTCTCAATTCTTCTTCCTTTATGCGGCACACAATGTGAAAAAATATAATCTCTAAACCGTCGCATGCTCCGGCTACATCCATCCCGCACTTAATATCCTGCATGCACAACAATAACAATACTTCGACCTTGGCAAGGTCATAAAAGGCGATTAAATTCCAAGTAGGAAATTTGTTTCTATAAATCATGAACAATGACGAATTTTTTTTTACTACTCGACTTACTCGTGAAGCATTCGGCAATGCTTACGTAGACCAAGGCTACCACTATGACGAAGACGGTGTTCATTACTTCTTCCGCGAAGGTTCTGCAAAAGAATAGTACGTGTAGTTATGCTAAACTAAGCAACTAATGGGCAATAAAAATTTTCAATTGTTATTACAAAACTAATATTTTTTTCTGAAACACGGTAGTTGGATAGTTGCTCCCAAATAAGGTCATAGTTTGTAGTCTGGTGTTGATATCATGGCATACTTTGTCTCAAAGTACCTTCTTGGCTTTTGACGGCAATTATCGATTAAGATTAAATATGAGCTTATGTTTTATTCAGGTATAATAAAGTCATATTAGTGCTAATAGAACATACTACTATATAATACAGGTATATCGGACTTAAAAAGAAGGAGTAACAATTTTTGCTCTCATATTTGTTTTGATTTGGTATCACATATATTCTATGGGGATGAATATCCGATGATATGGGTAAAGATGTACAACAATATGCCGAAATTGTTCAGCTAAATTATCACATACATACTGGCTTAATGTTTTTATAGCTTCCTATTCAGTTTATCTATAATAAACGAGATATATTTTATATTTTGTATTATAGGTTTTATATCTTTTTACTATTGTCCTGACAACGAGACGGTGATATTAAAAATCATTACGTTTTTTTCTTTCATTCACTGTTAACAATATCGTTTATCGAGAATATTGGCGTCAAAATTCAAAACGACATACTTTGAGACACACTTTATCAAAATTTAATTCTACAGCCTGCTTTGGCAAAACGTATCATAACATTGCGAAACCCTAAAGGAAATTCACGGGATACTAAGAAATAATGACGTAGTAAATAAAACATCTCTAATTCAGTATTAGTTTATCTCAGTCACTCCCGAATCGCACCATTCCCAGTCTATAGTCGTTCTCTGAAGTGTAATAAAACCGGGATTTTTTCCAATGCGGGGTCAATACCGTGGTCGTTCATGGGCGTAGCTATAAAAAATATATACGCTTGAAATTTGGGAAGCGACGCCATATGAAACTAATATTCGACATTGGGGTAAATATTATATTCACTGATTTACCATATTAACATTTTAAAGACATATGTAATTTTTAATTATTGTACACGTGCTAAAAACGTCACATTTTATTCTATGAGAATGATGGCACATGTTATGACGATTTGCAGGGACAACTTCTAACACAATAGTTTAAAAAAGATAATAATAAAGCTTTATAAACTCAGTACTAAGTAAAGAAAACATATATGGGATAGGGAGACAACGGATAAAACTTCCGTTCATTTCAATACTATGTGGGCCATTTCTACAAAATTGTTAACATCAAATTTTGCTGCACGCAACAAGTTTCGGACAGTTGAAAAATGAAACAATATTTGAATACCTGTACATTTTACTTTTATAAGGTCCCTAGATACTATTATAGTCTCTATATTATATACTATAATATATTTCTTTAATTTCTTTGATGTTCTATGTTTATGTAACCTCTAGATCAGCACGTTGCCTAGAATTGACACCTTGGACCATTTTGCCTTCCTGGTCCGTTTTTCCTAAACAACTTTTTTTTAAATAAACCCTATAATATTTTCAGATTGTCAGCAACTATAAAAGAACGAGCGAGAGGTAAAAATAGTGAGAATAACCAATAAAAAAAGCAATAATAAAAGTTGGAACTAAGGCCATGAGACTTAGAAAGGCTTCTGAAAATTATAATGTACCTAAAACAACATTAAAAGGTTGCCTTTCAGTTATACAACAATACAATTTTTGAAAAATGAGATCCAGATCTTAATCTTCGCAAACCAGAGGCCACCTCAGCTGCAAGTTTTCTTTTTTTACTTTTAGTTGAAGCTATCGATAAGTATAAATATACCAGATATCTACGTAGACGAGAAGCACATGACTACAGTACCGAAGACATTGGCAAAAATAATCAGCACAAAAGGTAAAAAGCAATTTGGTTTATTAATATCGTCAGAGAGGGGCGAATTAGTAACTACTGTACTTTGCTTTAATGCAGATGGCTCATACATGCCACCCTTATTTGTATTTCCCAGAAAAAGATTTAAGCCGAAACTCAAGAGGATCTTAGGCGGAGTGCTTGAGAGAGCGTCCTTGAAAAATCCAGTGTTGCTTTTGTTTGACGGATATGGCAGTCATACAAAAACTCTGGACATCATTAATTTTGGATGTGTTCATATTCTTTCATTTCCACCATTTGCAACCACTGTATGTGGGTTTTATGAAACCACTGTCTACGTATTTTGCTGATGCAGTAAAGCGGTGACTCAGAACGAACCCAGGGCGGGTGGTCACTCAATTTCAAATAGCAGAACTTGTGGTAAAGTCTTTTGAAAAGCAGCTACAATACCTACTGCGCATAAATATATTTTCTGAAGCAGATTTTTAACATGATATTGTATGAAAACATACTATGTTACACAAATATGAGTTCAGTTTGTAAAAAGTGTTGTTTATCTTTTTTTATCCTGGCCGTAACATTAAGAGTACCATTTTGCCTTCTGTTCCCCTATTTTTAAATGTCAAACAATTTTCCAGAAAATTTAAAAAATTCCTGATATAGTCACGACATTTTAAGGATATTTTGAATTCTCAGGTTTTCCAGTCTTGTGATAACACTAAATTAATGCAGAAGTGGAATGACAACTTGAAAGATTTTATATTATTTTATAATATTGGCACTGCAGAAATATTTTAATTGGATATTTTTCTTTATCAAATCACGCTTTTATCAATCACTCTCTGATCCCGCAAAAATTTGTAAATTGTTAATAATAAATTTTGGGATCAACATTTTCCTTTCCGTTGAACGGGCATGAAAACGCGCAACAACACGTCCGGCGGTTATTCTTCTTTCATTCAGCAAAATTTAGCTCGAGTTCTATACAAAATGCATCCCTTCAAACTCGAAGCCCTCAAACACAGCTCGCAAGAACAGGATCCTTACGATCCAGAACATTACAGCTTGCATTTATTTATTTTGAAACCACGACGAACCAAATGCTCCGAAGCGGATCCCAGGCGCAAGACAAACCGAAAGTGCAGTAAACGTTGATCATACCTCCATTGTCGGGGTATGATGGTGCCAAATGATTACGTGTCGACTATGCAGTACGCGCATCAAGCGCCGTACCCCTGCGAAATGGGATTGGTGTCGTTACGGTTTGATGCTGGAACGCACAAACGTATGAGGAAAGTAAAGAATGTAAATTTTCAGCCGACAACTTAGCGGACTACACTAAAACTGATCGAGACACAAGGACACCCATGACAGTTGTTTCGGCTTTTGACAGAGACTAGATTCTTTAAACTATGGTTTAAAAACACTTGTTTCCGATTGTTTGCTAGAAGTGGACAAATCTCAAATAAAATACGATAAATCAATTGTTGTATATTATATTCTGCCAAAACTAGGGCATAGTTTCTAAAATACTTTCAGTTGTGTCCATTTACAACGTGACCGTCGAATTACGAACGTGACTGAAAACATCAGATATGTATAAAAGTTGCTTGTCGAATAAAAATGTAAAAGATTCAAACTAAACGGCGCCAAGAGTGACTAAGGAATAAATATTTGCTGACAATTGTTGCAAACGAAAAAAAAAACTCGGTCGTAAACGTTCAAATGGGTACGAAATGTTTATTTATAACGCGAGCCTTGAAATCATTTTTAATAATTGTATATTTCGACACGGATGAGCGGTGATACACATAAACGTGTAGTGATTAGTTAATTGCGTGTTGGTATTGGTATTAGTATTAAAGGGGGGCGTCCTTGCGGGCGTCCAAGTACTTAGGCCACCAGATGAGCCCGTTGTGCCCCCAGGCCGCTCTAGAGGGCGTCCAGAATGCCGCCCCTAGTATAGAAGATCAGCAACTCCTTTAGTCCAATACGGTGCATTGAGTCCGGATCGATCAGGGCCGTTCCAATCTTGCCCATGTCAAGGCAGGACACTCGGTGAGCAGAGGATACGGAGTCTCCTCCCCTTCCATGCACCACCTACACTCCGGGTCGTCTCCAATGCCTAGCAAGCAAAGATGCCTCCGAAGCCTGCAATGTCCTGTGTAGGCCCCTCTTAGTGCTCTACACTCCCTTCTGGTCAGTCTAAGCAGCTCCCTGGTCCGAGGGAGGGTGGGCCCATCCATCACAAGCCTCGCCTGCCTCATTCCCGGAGCAACTCTCCAGCCCCCCGCGGCCCGGTCTCTCGTCCAGGCTTCGAGAGCTCCCCGCCTCACACACGGGGCGATCCCGAAGCGGGGCTCTGGCCCTATATGCCTATGCGAGGAGCCCTCTCTGGCTAAGGCGTCCGCTGCCTCATTGCCCCGGACACCAGTGTGGGCCGGGACCCAGCCCGACGTGACCTTTCTCCCCTCAGCCACTCTCCTCAATACCCCTTTGCACTCCTTTATCAAGGAGTGCGTAGGCACTGAAACACAGTGCAGTACTGACCCAGAGGGACCGACAAGCTTGATCCCGTTGTCCCACAGTACGCTCCAGCTCCGGCCAGATCTCCCATTCTGGACCCATCCGTGTACCAGACAAGTTCATCCCAGGAGTAATTGCGTGTTCAATCATAATTTAACACTGACAACATAGTGTAGAAAAAACAAGGTGTGTGACTAGAACGAAATCATCTTTATATTTTGGAGTAAAATATTTTTTTCAAAAGAAGGTGTTTGAACCAACAGCAAAAATGTTTCCTTTATTCAAAATTATTGAATTAAGTAAGTTTATATTAGTTGCTACAGCCAATTATAGAAATCTAAATTTGGTTAGATTTGATTTTTTGGAAACACTGTGAATTGCAATGATTACACTATATGGTAAAGAATGATTTGAACATCGGGGCAATACTAATAGCCTTCATCGGTTTTAAACTTAGGAAAACTGAGTGTGTAAATAGACTTTTACTCAGAAATAATAACGACTGAATAATGAAAACTTTTACTGCTTCTGTATGTCATGTGGGTTGACATTGAATAACGCAACTTCGGATTATCAATTATTATCACCAACACGCCCTCTATGTCTGCGAAGCGTTCTTTCGATATTCCAAGGTGACCTTGGCCATTTGAAGGGCGGCCCGTCACCGAGGGACGATACGTAACAAGATTACTGCGTAATTTACTGCTTTTGGACCCTCTTAAACAACTTATCTTTCGGGACCCGCGTCAACGCTAATGGTGTTTAATGCAAGGCCGGTATTTTTTTGAAGGTTTCATAACCTCACAAATTCCCTTAATTTCCGTTACGGGCGGCGGGCGGGGACACAGGGAAACAAACGCCGAAGCAACTGAGCGTGGCGGAGCGCGCGGCCGCAACTCTCATAAAATCAAATTAGGCCGCGATTCCGGCACGAAGGTAAATAAAAGCGAATGTATCCCCGGAGTGTCCGCTCCGGGAGAGCCGGTCCTGGATTCGGGCCTCGAACGCGAGACCGTCCCGGGTAATATATTGCGTTAAGGCGGGCGAACTTTATTTTTTGATGTAACGGGACATTCCCGAACAGTGTTTCGCAATAATCCGATTTTCTTCAACGTCGTTAAAGTGAATTATCCCGTAAACAAAAAAATCACTAGTCTTAAAGGCTCTGTACATAATTTACCGACTCGATCTCGTTAATTAAGCCGATATATGACGAAAAGTTATCTAGTTGTCCACCATCTACTACAACTACAAGAAGTTTCAGGCGCTGTAATTAATAATTTAAGCACCCATAATAATAATAGGTCATTAAGGACGTTGTTAGTTATTTTAGCTGGCTCACATTAACTGTTATTCTTAAACCCAGATTTTCCCACGAATTCCTTAACTTTGGTAAGTGTAGAATTTCTCACTACCAGCTAAGCTACATCTACTATCGAAGCTGTGGAGTCTGATCAGAGAGTCGAACCAAAATAAAGCTCTAATCTCGCAGTCACGCACAAGCTAAATGAATATTGAATCTAAAGTGCCTCTGAAAGAAAATAAAGAAGAAAAATGGTGAAGCACCATTTTCACAAAATGAAATGCATAAAAGTCGATGAAATTTTGGTAAACTATCCACCAAGTCACAGTTTTCATTATTTAGTCGTTATTATTTCTGAGTTAAACCTATTTACACACTCAGTTTCCCTAACTTTAAAACCGATGAAGGCTATTCGTATTGCCCCGATGTTCAAATCATTCTTTACCATGTAGTGTGATCATTACAATTCACAGTGCTTCCAAAAAATCAAATCTAACCAAATTTAGACTTCTATAATTGCCTGTAGCAAACAAATATAAACTTAATATAAAATAAAATATAATAAAAATATAAAATTAATGAAACATTTTTGCTGTTGGTTCAAACACTTTCTTTTGAAAAAGATTTTTTTCTATAAAAGGTAAAGATATTTTTCTACTCCCGTCTGTAAAATACCTAATTACCCACCGATCTAGCGGCGGGAAGCGTCACTTTACCACGTCAGTTTCGTTTCCCATGAATCCGAGCCACTTCGGACATTTCCGGGATTTTACCGCACGGATTTGGGAGCAATCGAATGTTTTCGGAGATATTTAGCACGCTTTGAATTTTGATGTTTGCCAATTCTGAAGGTCATGTCAATGAATGTATTCGTGTTGTTTTGCGAAAATGTACCCAAAAACTAACGGTCGTAGAAAAAGTATAGTATGCAACACGTTTGGTAAACTTTTAAACTCACTCGTTTATTAAAAACTCGTGAGTCAAATGCCGTTTACCGCACTTGTTGCATAATATACTATTTTTTCTACACTGACACAGCTCGTATTCATTTGAACATTTACGACCGAGTTTTTTTTTTCGTTTACATTATCAGCGATGGTGGCAACAATTTTCTGCAAATATTTATTCCTTAGTCACTCGTGGCGCCATTTTGTTTAAATCTTTGAAATCTTTATTAGATAAGTAACTTTTTTACTTATCTGATGTTTTCAGTTAGCTTCGTAATTCGACGGTCACGTTGCAAATGGGCACAACTGAAAGTATTTGCCCAATTTTTGCCAGAACTTAATATACAACAATTTATTTATCGCAATTGGAAACAAGTTTTTCAAACCATAGTTTAAAGAATCTCGTCCCTTTCAAAAGCCGAAACAACTGTCGTGGGTGTCCTTGTGTCTCGATCCTTTAACTTTCTGCAAAGTTTTAGTGTAGTCCGCTAAGTTGTCGTCTAAAAATTTACACTCTTCACTCGGCCTCATACGTCTGTGCATTCCAGCATCAACCCGTAACGACACCAATCCCATTTCGCAGGGGTACGGCGCCTGATACCCGTACTGCATAGTCGATACGTAATCATTCGGTACCATCATATCCCGACAGTGGGGGTATTCCTCGATCCGAATCTCGGGAAAAGTGAAAAAGTTGATCAACGCTTTCTGCACTTTCGGTTTGTCTTGCGCCTGGGATCCGCTTCGGAGCATTTGGCGCGTAGTGGTTTCAAAATGGCCGACATCTTGATCTCCTAACCGGGCGTAGTGAGATAAATGCAAGCTGTAATGTTCTGGATCATTAGGATCCTGATCAACACGTTGGCGTTCGGCATGCTGCTCCCAACCCTCTACCTTCACGTTCTTTCCGTAGGTCTGTTTGGTGTGTAGTAGTCTTTGCGTTCTGAGTTCTTGCGGGCTGTGTTTGAGGGCTTCGAGTTTGAAGGGAGGCATTTTTTAAAGAACTCGAGCGAAATTTTGCTGAATGAAAGAATAATAACCGCCGGACGTGCTTCGAAGAACCTTTGACATAAGTCAAAATTGTTTAATAATAATTAAAGCGGTAATAATTCTGTTGCGCGTTTTCATGGCAGTTCGACGGAAAATGTTGATCCCAAAATTTATTATTAACAGTTTACAAACTTGCGGGATTGGAGAGTGATTGATAAAAGCGTGATTTGATAAAGAGTAATATCCAATTAAAATATTTCCGCAGTGCCAATATTACAAAATAATATAAAGGCTTTCAAGTTGTCATTCCACTTCTTCTGCATGTGATGATCAGGTCTAGGTGAAGGGGACGGTAGAAAACCAAGTTATATGGTCCAAGAAACTGGTAAATCTGTATATTCCATATTCCGTCATCTGTCAATGCATTCAGAGTCAACAATAGGCGGCACCATCCGCTTTTACCTTTCCTTAACCAGGTAAATTCTAGAAGTCCGACGTACATTTAAGTCTAGAGTCTGGCAATACGCAATCCAATTTGAATCTTGTTGACTGCTATTTTAAACAGTTTGCACGTAGAGAGGCAGAACAGGGTTCAACGATTTCAAAACCCAGGATTTGATAGTGCGCCTCAAATAATTCAATCTGTACTATTTACTTGTGTTTATTTTATTATATTATATTATTAGTCTCTATAATCCATAGTCATGCTAATATCATAACACGAGGGACTCTGAAATTTTAGACTTTCTTTTTGACTGCAGATTTCAAAATATTTCAGAATCATCTGATTCTTGTTCTAAACAGTTCTCATCTAGATAAAGGAAACCTAATTTTAGTTTTTAAGATGCTTAAGATGCTTCGACTTTCGGTGCTCTTTGCCTATGCAGTATGTATCCTAAATACTTCAATCTTATTTATTTAATTATGTCTATTGCTTTGGTCTCTTCTAGGACTCTGCTATCGAAAACATAATATTTTTTATTACAACTTTTTGATGTGCTGGGCTTTATCGAACGCTTACTGATACTGTATAAAGTGTCTTTTAAGCCTCGCCGAACTTCAAAGTTTCAGCAAACTTTGTTAAATATTCAAATTTGTACAAACAATAGCGTCGTCGAATGATATTTTTGCAAATATCTCGCGCGCCCTGTATAATTGACGAAATCTGAAACTCTCTCTCGACACGGTTTTACGATACCGTTCAAATCAAATTAACTGATTTTTAGCAGTCTTTCATTTATACCGAATAATTTACCAACAAAAACCGAAATTTTTAGGACGTTCTCGATATTTTTGCCCATAAACGACACATCCTGTATATGATTCAAACAATGTTCGAAATAGAGGTTATAGCGCAGGATCACCCACGTTTCCTGGCATTTGAAATTTGAAATACTTGTTTTCTGAAACCATGCAGTACGTGGTAATAGTAAACGACGTCATCGCGTCTAGATTGGGGGCGAGAATCAGCGATTTTCATATGGATTTTTTCAAATATCTCGAACAGCGTATGTGATACGGCCTCTAACACTGCTTGCACCGATTGGCCATATGTTTTACGAATTTTGATTTGCTCTTAATAATTCATTGCAAAAAAGTACAACTTTCACGGTCTTTTTGATTTTTATCCACAATTGAAAAACCCTGATATAATCAAAAAAATGCCTAAAATAAAAGTCATAGCTCCGGATCTCCCACATTTTCTGGTTCTAAAATTTTGCCGATCGGTTTAATAGTTTTTGAGAAAATCATGTTTTTCTGGAAGCCAAAATAAGCAAAGAAAATTTTTCAAATATTTTTAAAAAATATTTGGTGACATTTCACTATGCTCAATTTATACTGTTTAGATGTGCGTACGGACTTTTACTCCCTTACCAAATTTGAAGTCGATGACTACGTATTTGAGACACCTATGACGTTTTAGAATATAGCACAGAATATTCCGAACATCCTGTACAATATATGAAAACCTTAAATACAAAAGTTTTAGCTGTCTATACGGGCTATATAGAAATGTGAAAGGAATCACGGCCTTCCAGTTATGGTCAATTATTAATATAGAGGAGCTCAATTTTCAGTTTTTTGCAAATTACCGACGCACCCTCTACATTTTTAAAAAATCATCAACAATAAAGGTTTTCGGCCCGGATCTTGCGCGTCGTTTGGTTAAATAATTTTTTTGACCGCATATACCATCTTGGAGAAATGATTTTTTTCTCAGTACCCTGCAAGTGCGGTTTTTAAATTTTTAAAAATACTGCCCGACTCCCCAGCCCGCCCAGTTTCAATACGTTTCGTTACGGAGCTAAACTCTATATATGTGTCAAATTTCAAGTGGATGACTTCAAATTTCGGACACTTATCGTGTTTCATAGCGAAGTCCAAAAAACAGATGAAAATCGAAAAAAAAAAAGATGGACGCCTTGTTTTGATCAGACCCATATTTTACTGGTTTGTGTACCTCGTGCACGGCTTAAAAGGAGCCAAATTTGAAGGTCGTGCTGCAAACCGTTCAAAAGATATAGGCAATTTATGCCATTTCTACAGAGAGACGGAGAACAGAGAACAGAAAAAAAAGTTTTTTTTTCGACGCTGATCATTTCTGTACCAATGGCGGTGGTCCCCTAAGACCGTTGCCGAGATGTACGTTTCGTTGCCAAGCGCGTATACTTTCGAAAAATTCGATTTCATCGATTTTTTGAAAGTAATAAAGTATCAGTCACCTAAAAAAACGTCACTATCGCTACTGTTGTCACTTAGTTCAATGATCAACTGCGCCACTAACGGTGCTCGATACATATTTTCTTCTTGTATTATTAGTTTTTCAAAGTTAGACCAGCTTTGTGCTGATATTTTGACTACCTCTTGTCGAATGACGTTTACGGAACTATCACTAAATTTTGGTGCAGTGTTATTTCTTGTTATCAATCAAATATACAATGATAACGACTAGAACTTTATTAAAATGGTTGATTTTTAATAATTTCAGAAGTTGTTTTTTCGTGTGGCTCTCTTCAAAATATAAATAAAAATAAAATACTAGTATTTCCAATGTCAATTAGGCACATTGAACATCTGGCTCTGATGCGTATGTCAAATTGCCTCCGTTGCGCCGCCAAACGGCGAATTCCTCGCCTTATGAACCCCCGTTCGCAAGTTTTCCGCCCGCGAGGCAATTGTTTTTTTTTTTGCTGCTCGTCGCGGTGGCAACGCTCGGGGCACTCGTACAATAAACGCTTTTGTGGAATGTGTCGCGAGCGCGACTCTGCGAGCAATTAGGCAAGATTGATAGTCACTTTGAACTTAAATGCGATAATTTAATTTGCCCCCGGAGAAGTGGAAAGCGAAATTTTCTTAATTGCCGCCGCCGCCCCCGCCCCCGAGACGCGAGAATCACACAGTGGTTCCATTTTGCCTCGGCGGGCTTTGAGCTAGAGACGGCACTTTAAAAACTCCAGACCGTGTACGGTAACTTTATCCGAAAGAGCTTTCCGGGAGCCTTATTGTCCAATTATTTTGTATATGTAAACCGCACTCGCGGATCGATACGGTGTAATTCTCCTGTGAAGCCAGCTTTAGTCGGACCTCTGATGTCCCCTAACGTAGTGCGGAGTGCTAAGAAGAATTTGCCGCCATGTGGAAAAACTGGTTTGGAAATTGACATTTTTCTACTCCTTGCAGGCGTTTCCGATATTTTAGTCACGAGTTATGTTTTCGGGAAATGTTACTTTGAAGCTTGACAGACAGATCTGACGGTCTTGTGACACGTCACTCAGCGTTGGGAGCATTCGTGCTGTCTTGCCATATTCACAGTCCTTTAATGACATATTTTCCATGGTCTATGTTTCTTCAGTGCTTGATTAATTTATTTTTGTCAGAAGTAGCAGAAATGATACCTTCTGCCTTGACAAGATCCTCAGTACATTACAATTCCAACCATTGTTTCTCTATTCCTTGCGGTGTGTATTAACGACTGTACGTCGTGTCTGATATTCGTAGCCGAGGCATTTTTTTCGTTCCGATCTCTGTCCGACCTTCAGCATAGACAACCATATATTCATACAGAACATACAATATCAGTTAACTTTAGATATTTATTATTACATTTATATCGTAGGTACTAGTAACATTAAGGTTTTATCCATGAGGAGGCTACCAGAAAATTTCTTCTCTGAACAAACCGGAAATTCTTAGGACCATTTGATATGCTTCATCTATTTAAGATTTTAAGGTAGTTTCTACACATATTAAAGTAGTGTGTCGTCCAAGGCCTTCAGATCTTTGCAAGTTTACAAAGAAATAAATAGTCATTTAATAATTCCAATTATCAACTACACACTGAAAAACAAATTCTGCGAAAATAACTTCATAAAATAAATTATTTTTCCTTGTTCTAAAATTTAATTCAGGCCTTGCAAATACAAAATACACTTGGATTCCCTCCTGTTTAACAGAAAGCTGCTTAGTATTTTGTTCTTTTTCTGCTAATATTGGAGGCATATCTTACCGTTTGTTACCACAACAGTTAATTATTTGATGAATGACGAAACCAAAAATCGTCACTTCTTTTTCCTTTATTTGCATAAGCGGCAACACTGTGTACACTCCTAGGCGTTCAAGACGATTGTTATATTCTCGGGAGTAAAAATGAACCAGTTTTTTAGGGTACGTTCCCGTGAACGTTTCCTTCCCCGACATTCAAGAACAGAGGGCCAGAAGTCACGATTTAGGATTTATTGCGAGTGACCCATATTTGGGCTTTCCGCAGCGACCTGATGATGCCAAGTATTCAGTCCCCTGGCTCTTGTAAAAAGTCCGTTATTGTGTAAGGATGTCTTATTTAAATCTTCCATTCTGACAGAGTCGGCAACAGTTTTGAGTACCTCATTTTCCAAGCAGAACCAGCACTTGTCATGCTATATTTTTTCCAAGAAGCTCCATTAAATATAACCCAAGATTAGGATTCAGTTCATTCAGCGGAGCGTAACAAGTGCAGTACAGGTTTCGAAAATATTTACAGAAAACCGTCATCAGGTGGCAATTACCACCTAGTACCCACCTTAATTGATTTGATTTTATTTTTAGCAACTGCGCTCAATTTAATGCATACAGTTAAATCATACAATGCATCATGGGTTCGTCAAAAATATAAAAAAAGAATAAAAAAAGATATTATATTATAATGTACAATGCAAACTGAAGTATGTTAAAAAAAAACAAATATACACACAAAGCAAAGAAAAACTATCATACAGAGCTTTTATGAGATCAAGCCTCACAAACCTGGAGATCTCTGCTTGAGTTTTAATTTAGTTTTATAATTTCTTGCAAATTCTGCAAAGCTAGGATGGAGTCGAGATAATTTGTTTAAATATTTAATAGCAATGTAATTCAGGTTTTGTTAAGAAATTGAGAAAAATGTGGCTGTAACAATTTGGGTTCTTGACTTTTAGTGTGAATAATAAGACAGTCTTTTTAATATTTTTTCGATATTTTACATATTTGCTCTAAATTGCTCTAAATTTCTGTTGAACGGAGTCAAACAAGCATTCGACGCTAAAATCTTAGCAGTCGTCAAACCACTGAATCCGACTGATATCCTCTCTAAAGGTCCTTATTGCATATTTATCGAAGTTACGTTTTTCTCTTATGTTAGGAGTATGAGTAGGATGTACTTCCGTTGTGAACAGTGAAATAATTTGGTTAAAGTGATCCTATAAATCATAGGTAGATAGGATTGAAATATTTAAGTTGCTTTGATCCACGGATTTGATACGCCACTGAAAGTAACTAAGGAAAACAATAACACAAATTCCGTATCGCCGGGTTTTACCCCAGAAAACGCCTAAACCAACTCGGGCCGAATTTAAAAATGACCCTGGAAATTACGCCGCCGCGCAACTCCAAGCAAATGGAAAAATTCTCGGGATGTTTTCGCGCTCAAAAATAGCTATCGGATAATAAAACGACTCATTGCGTTTTAAGGCAAATCACGGGGAATACTTAGGTGGCCCTGGAAGCGTGAAGAAACGCGCATTATCGACCTACTCCATAATTGCGACTTTTGCCTCGACGAATCGATACACTCTTGACCCGAAACTAATAATCAAATCCGCGAACAATGGCCGTAGATCTATCTCGGACAAGTTACCGCGTCATACCTGTTCGCCTCTTTAAAACTAGTCCGCTTTTTATTCCCGCGTGACGCGGAATCTCTCCTACGTAACACAAATAAATCACGGCCGTCCCGGATAACAAATGACCACACAGGCGGACGTTTACGAAAGGCAATATCCACTACAGTAAACCGACTTCGACTGTTCCGCGCTGCCAAAGGAAAATATCGCGTTGTACGGTGTTGTTTGGGTGACGCGGTGACGTCAGTCTTTTCACGGTTAACCGCGCGAAGAAGTGGGAAATCCCCCCTGCTATTTGCGGACCACGTACGTCGTCGTTGCGTTTTGCCCCAGCGAGATGGTCAGCAACACGACATACACCGAACGACGTCATGTTTAAAGGAGAAAGGTCGAGCGGTTATCTTTACTTAAAAATCCACGATAGACTTTCGGAAACTGCTAAAACTAAACTTGTGATCAGTCATAAGTATAAGCTCTTTGTTGCATGTCATGTCATGTCATTCATAATATTGATCTGACAAATACCTCATTAAACAACTTGTCACACATTATAATAGGGGACCGCAAAGTAACGTCGTTTTTTATCATTATTTTAAACTACATATATTTTTGTTTAGTTTTATTTTTAATCAATAACATAATTGCATCTTTTTAAAACATTTTCAATGCCCGATTTAAAAAAATTAAGTAATTGATTGTTGAAGTGGAGAGGGCATTTTTGATATCATTCACATTGTTAAATTTCATTCCAGCGGGGAAGCTTGGCAGTGATCTCAACAATTCATAATCAGATGGAGCAATCTCGGGTGAGTATGGTGGATGAGGTAGTAGCTCCCAACTCAGATCGTCAATTTTTTCAACGGTCTTCTTTGCGCTATGTAGTTTGGCATTGTCATGGTGCAGAACACCACCTTTTCTGTTTAGCGAAACTGCATATTGTTGTCAATAAAGGCCAGCATCGACTGTTTGTCCAGGTTCCAGAACTTCAAAGTGTACAATTCCGCGAATACTCCACCAAACACATAAGCGCGCCTTCCTTGGGTGAAGGCCAAGTTTCGCATTCGGTTTTGGTGTTTCATTTGGGGACAGCCATTGCCTTTTGCGTTTCGGATTGTCATATAAGACCCATTTCCCGTCCCCTGTAATCAAGCGATTCAAAACCCATTCCTTTTCGTGCCTTTCTAGCAGTAAGTCATCTCTACCAAATGCTCTTGAATGGTATAATAAGGTTGGTTAACTGTATTTCGCTTGCTATTCCTATGACAACTGTTTAAAGTAATTTTTTTTACAATGATCACAAGTCAATAAACTTCTCTTACTTTTAAATGTATCTTGACGACGTGGACGGCTGTACAATAAGTGATTAACATATACTCGCATCCGCAAAAACAATATTACTTTCCGGTCTCCCTATTAATATGGTGTCAGAATATCAGAGACCATTTTGTCCTCCGCAGGAAACCTGAAATAAAGATATAAATCAGCCGAAACAGCTCCCACTTCGAAATCAAACAATTCTTGTTCCAGCAGGTCAAATACGTGCTAATCGATCAAATATATAATCTCCAAACTATTGGATATTGGATGTAAAAATACCTATCTTTTTGATGAGCCTAGGTCTAGATTATTTTGAGATATATGACAACTGGGATGTTGACAAAAAGAGCATTCTCAACAATCTAAAACACTCTTTCCAGGACTATTTCGAACCAAAACCAAATACAGCAACGTTAACTTTAATTGTCACCAATATGGTCTTATGGTCAAAGAAAAGTTCACAATGAGCGCAGTTTTCAAGAAAGACTTATTTCCGACAGCAGTACAAAAGGGGTTTGTCAAGCTGGCGATAAAATACAAGAAAAATACATCCATGCATGTGGGTAAATATTATCCAGCCTATCAAAAGCATTGTGGTTATTGCAAAATGATGAGACACTTTACAACAGAATGTTTAAAAAATTTCCAACAACTATAACCTTAAAACATTTAATTATTTTGTACAATCAGCATTCGTCAAAGAATTTCTGCGTTTTCTTAGTTTGTTGCCCACTTCTGCGTAGTGGTGCTGGTGGGTTCTTTCCGTGTCACGTGGATCTTTTCAGGAGGTTCCACATTCCGATTCTCCAAAGATACACGAAGGGAATTTATACTAGGCTTGCATGTTTTGATTGGGTACACCATTTACTATTCCTTGGTTTGTCAACATTTCTTGAAATCACCAACCTTTTTGGTTGAACATCAGCTGTTGTTAATCGAAGATTCTTTTGTATTTATCAGTTTCTATATCAGACGAACCAGGTCGGCTTGCTTCAGAAAATTTCCTATAAAACAACGACATGTCATTCGTAATATTAATCTGACGATCTATTTGTTATAGAATTCTAAAATAAATAATGTGTTTTAATACCTCAAAAAACAAGTTACCATTATTACACATAACAGGTGATAATTTGTGGGACAAGAATTTCGAGATTAGTAGTGCGAGGACAATAAGCATAACAAAGTAAAATCGCTAATCGGGAAAAACTTGCTTTCTTGTTTAGTTCCGAGTTTATTAGAAACTTCTAAAGTAAGGTAGGCCAATTAATCTATAAATAATTAAAATGGGAATATTAATTATTTTTTTAAGCCTGTCTTTATATGGAAAATTCTTGGTTCGGTGACAAGCAAGAGCATTATTAAATTCCATCACGTATCCGATCTACACTTTATTTCTTCTAAATTAATTAATTTTAATTTTTAATTAAAATTAAAAATTTGTGTTCTGTACATAGTCTAGTATAAAATCGATATTTGAGCCACTCAATTTTAAATTGGGTCTTCCAGTACAGAACTCATGTTGTCTACTTTTATTCGGATAGTTTCTGTATGATCCTATACTTGTATTCTTCATTTTAAACTTGGAATTTTTCTTAAATTTAATGCACCTCATTTTAATTCAGCATTCAGAAGTTTTCCTTAAAAAAGTCAAAGTAATGGCGTTTGGAGCAGTACCTATGGTATACTTCTCAGGCACTGTTAAAAGTAGCTAACAAGCGTGTCAGAAAATGTCAGAAAATGATCTTTTTAATCCTTTTTATTTTAAATATTGTTTTAATAATATAAAGCCTAGAAAATCTCCTTTTAAAAATATTCTTAAAGAAGGAACTATATCCTTACTTGTATTTGCATATTTTAGCAGTGTTAGTTCTTGTTTTCTATTACTTTTTTTAAGACTCACGTTTAGCTTCTCTTAACCTCAAAAACATTTATTTACTAGACACGATCAAACTTATTTCATAAATTTCTGGAAAACTATTACGTTTTTTGAGGCATTTCAGCTCTGTACTAGGGGTCCATAGTCTGTCAAATGATTTGGTTATTTTATAAAAACAATAAAACGTGTATTGCTCTATCGCTTGAACATTCCGACTCTTTTTTTTTTATTATGAGAAATGAAATTATACAAAATAATAAAATTCTGTGCAACTGTCATCGCCGCTTGGGGATATTATAATTCAAGATCAAGTAGGCAAGACATATTTCATAGAGCGATGTTTTCAATTTTTTATATGTAACCATTCCTTCTTTGTCGAATTATCTTCAAATTCCATGTTTTTGGTGGTTAATTAGTCTATAATTTGTTAACCAAAGGAAAATTCTGATTCCTTACTCCAGTCTAAAAGAACGTGATAACGGTAATAATTTTTGTATACGAAAATGTATATACAACGATTTGCGAGCAATAGTTTTAAGGAGATTTCCCGAGTCTCTTGAACTCGATCCGGGGCTTTTTAATTTCCATTTTTCGGTCCGAGCTGATTTGACAGAGCCGAAACAACAAGTCGAATGGAAAATTAGGGAGATGGAAATTTATTTGGATTTGCAGAAGGGCGCCGGCTGATATTTTATTCATGTGGGATATTCATATGTAATATACGAATATCTTGCCTTCATCTCGGTTGCAACTACGCGACGTTGCCATTTCAATTTTCGAGACCCGGCAACGGAATAAATATGTCGGTTCTCGGTTTATAACAAAATTTAACCTGAAATTGTCCCTACTAAAAGCTACCAAAAATATTAATGAATTTCTATTTGCAGTTATACTCGTAGAGGTAAAATGAAGGCATTGCGGTTTTACCGAATTGTTGAACTTGAAACAATTTAATTTGTTCATTTAAAGCACTTGCAAATATTATTAAATACCCAATAATAATGATAACCCTGCCTCTTTTGTAATTCATCAATAAAAAATTGTACCCCTTCTCCACCTTTTATATATTTGGAACTATTTAATAGAAAAATGTGTTTCTGCAGACTGCTGCAACTCGTATCTGGTATTATTTATTACAAAATACAATACTTTTATTTCCATCGACAATAATACGTTGTATAGGAAAAGTAATCCTTAATACTAAAATAAAATTGAATATTATAAATAAATAGTTTTTAACATAACTTTCAAAGCCTTAAAGATTTGCACGTTTTGACGTTATCGAGCCCCACATTTTCTAGAATTTGAATTATGCATAGAACAATTTTTTGTTAAATTATCTCAATTTGTAAAAAGAAACAAACAGAGGAACACATAGAGGAACAATGACGGTGCCGTCAAAATATTTGTTAAATGACTACCATGTAGTTGTTGGTTTTTCAGCAAGAAACCTTATGTACGATTTTTGAGGAATAATATCTGTAGTAAGGGTTGAGCAACCCCAGAAGCATGAAATGGGTGTTCTATTTTTAATAGGGAAGGAAATTAGACTCTTTTGTCCACAATGAAAACGCATAAGCGTTTTCAATTGGCTTAGGTAAAGAGAGCGATCGCAGAACCAACCATTAATTTCTTTAATGCATATATTGCAATCACGTTCTAGAAGGGTATCAGAGTTATCTGAAATTAAAGACGAAACATCATCTGCAAAGGATATAAATAGAGAATTATAATCTGTATTGTGAAATTGGTTAAGACATAAGATAAGGAATGTCGGTCCAGGATCATACCCTGCGGTATTTCCTTTAAAATATTTAATATATTTGAGGTAACGTTTTTAGTTAATATTTTGAACATAAACGTATTGTTGCCTGTGTGTATGTCAACAATTCGTTTTAAATCATTGAGTCTCAAAGACAATAACATCAGTGACGTAAATTTTTCAATAGAAAATAATTGCTAACCATGAGGGTTCTTGGCTTTGTCTTGCTCATTTATTTTAGAAGTCAGTGGCGTGGTCAGTTTTTTAATGTTTGTTGTTAAATGTAAATGTTAATGGTTTTTTTGAACGGAACACCCCATATCTTACAGACCAATTTGATTCCGCTTAGTATG